AAAATCCACCGCGCAGTTAGGGTTGCGGCAAAACACCACCACATCTGTACATTTTCGCAAAAAAAACACTGGCAGGGGCAAGTTTAAGTTAAAGCCTAAAAGTTTGCCTACTATTATAATAGGATCTAGGCACAGGATGGGGGACGGATTCCAGGGGTTCTGTTTGACGGATTCCAGTCGTTCGCTGCTCGCTTAGGCGACGCGCTAAACAGAATAAGGAAGTTAGGGTTACGGAAAGCCAGCGATCCGTGGCCATATATCGGATACCGTAATAGGTGGCGCCATGGTCAAGTCCACCGATCTAGGCCAAAAAGAGGAGCGAAAAGGGGGTCGGATCCAGCGCGATGCCCAATTGAGACGAACAAGGCCTGATCCGCAGCAGTCGCAGGGAGATAGGTGATGCCACGTATTTTCTGCGGTTTAAATTAACTTTACTTAACGTTAAATAGACAGGTGTGCTTCAACTGTAAAATAATAAATTAACGTTAAGCTATCGTTAAGAACTAACTTTTTTAGGCTTTTCAAACCACCTTATAATGTCTGCGCTCTCTAACATTATAAGATGCTTTACAGTCTCTAAGCGCAAGCACATATGGAATCTTATATTTAAGAACAAGAAGTGGCTTAAACAAAATTCTAACAAGAGATATCCTTTGCTTGTAGGTGCTGGCCTTAAGCAAATTTTAAATAATCCTGCGCAAAGTCGGCCATTTCATATCTTTTTTGTTACTGAGGAAGATGCCCTACTCGCTAATGAATAATTCTTGTCCTGCCTTCACAATGGCTGTAAAATCGTACAGAACTGTGTATGGCTTCCGAATGGAATTGTTTTACATTTCAAAGACGCCAGGGGGCCAAATCATTACCAAATTAATAACGTTAGCTGGGACGATATTTTTGGATCTTGGGAGGATCCTTCCCTCTTTTATATCTCCTCAAAAGAGCGGTTCTACCGTGCTTTTAAAGCGCAGCGCTTGTATATTACCCAACTCAAATACCTTGGCGCACTGTCACGGTATCCTCCCCGGATCCCAGACATAACCGTATCGGACGCGTACCGGAGTATTATCGGTGCACGTCCGACACGAACACGACACGACACGGACATGAACTTAAGCACGAACCGCCTCAACACTAACTGAACCCGGAACAGGCTTGATTCATACCCGAAGCGCTTGGACTTCTGAGCTGAGTATTTAATTGCTAATTTCCTCCTGAACTTTCCTGTTCCTCACACAACGTCTTGTACCTACCATGATACCTCACGTAGTAATTGAACTAGACCTCCGCGAAGCTCTATAACCTTACTCGTGCATAATCGTGACACGCACGGAGTCTTAGGGAAATTACGATTGTTCAACAAGGAGACAGAGGCTTTGGCATAACCTTTGAATGTACAACCGCTGGGGGAAACGGGCAAGTTAATATCAGCGATGAAGAAGTTGTTGATACTGGGTCGCCTATGGATATAGATGGTCCAGAGTATTACAACGGGAATGCATAGACTTATCAAAGTCTCCCTTCGCATGTATAACGTGGCATGGTATTTAATTAACTTAAGCAACTTAACGTTAGTTTCCACGTTGCTATAGTCCTGTGTTCCGTACACATTTTTCTCCAACTAGCTTTAGATCGTGCAATCATCTATGCTGAGATAACGGATTGCCGTAACGTTAAGCACTGTAATAGCTTAGCATGCGATTCACGCGCTCAATTTTCCGACCCATAGGAGCTGAAATGTTAGGGCTATGTTAAGTTGCATACCTTAATTTGTTCTTAACGTGCGGACATATAAATAGATTTCCGATAGACGCATTAACGTTAAGCTACCAGTAACGAACAATATACTATGGGAGAGTTGAAAGATATCTGCACTATGCTTAGCATAGCCAATTCACATCTAGAATCTAATGGGCTACTTACCCTTTTTAATGCTCTAGACTCCGAGATTCAATTACAGGTTTTCCTTAATCTTGCAGAGGAATATCGCTCAGAGATTGCTCAGGACAACGAGGACCTAATTGATCGACTAGAAGGCTATTGTCCTTCTATAGATAATTACGAAGATAACGTTGTCTTTGTTGGCCAACTCAATACTTTCACTCTAGGCAGATGCCAAAGGTGTGTCGCACGTGTCTCACGCGATATCATACCCATGTACTGCACTATTCACTCATTAGGCATAGCTCCTGTCTCGTACAGTATATAGTCAGCT